ATGCCTGAAACCTATTTATTATTATTTGTAAAGAGTTTAAAAAACCGAATAAAATTTTTCAGCTGGGAAACATCTCCATTTACCTTGAAAAATCTTCGCTGGTAGGATTTTCCAATAATAGGTTTCAATAATAATTTTTTAATAATGTCATGAAAAAATTCTGCCATTTCCTCTCATCTCAATTCCCCCAAAAATTACGATAGGGGTATCCTCAGCAGTTTCTGTCTATGATAGAATCAAATACTGCCATCATTAAAACCTGAAATAATATTGATCTTATTGCCCTCCAGGCAGATTGTCATTTATTTCAAGTCAATATTTAAATAGGACTGATATATTGACTTTAGTTATTTATAGGCAAATGTGGCTTTAGTTCGGGGAAGCACTTTTCCCTTCTTTTTTGCATATTCAGTTTCTTTTTCTACCCGGATGCGGTAAGGCGTGTGGTACTCCTTGTAAATATGTTTTTTTACATAGACTTTCTTACTATATATCTTTCGTTCTCATTGATTAACTTTGTGTCCTATGATAAATCATCTGGTCGAGAACAAAAGCTTACAAACTTAAAATTGAAAATGCAGGAAGTGTTTAAATGCAATTAAAAGGTACAAACAATTTGGTCAAACTAACTAAAAAAATGCTTAAGCATGTGGAACACCATTATAGCTTCTAAAAGGGGTTATTTTGGTTAAGGGAAATTTCCAATCCTTATTGAACTATTCAGTGTTTTTATAAAATACTATATTCATGTTTTAGAGTGGAATATTAAGTTTTGTGTATTTCTGGTAAAAATATGAAAAACAATAAGCATTAGGAAATTTTCAAGTGATAATGCACGTAATATAACATTAAAAGAAATAAATTTATAAATCTTCCCAAAATATAGTTATTCCATTATTTCAGAATTAAGAGTAATTTAAAATTATTAACGCTTTAAAGGGAAATGAAGTAGTTAAGTAAGTGGAGAATGATAATAATATTTCTCAGAATATAGTTATGATGAAATTATTTTAATTAACAGACTTCTGTCGTCTTAACTATTATATTTTACCAAAATACAAATTAATGAATTTCCCACATGTGTAGAATCACATCATTGAATCAGATAAACTCTAATTAAACATCTTTCTTTCAAATTATGTATGGCTATTTAAGCTAACCACAAGTAAGCAGTCATAATATTTACGAGAATTACATAAACAAAAATTACGTGCATTACCAAGAAATACGTAATCAATTTATGTTGCTGGTTAAAAGGGAAATATATTTCCTATTGATCATCCCCTTATGTTTTCTCCGAAACAGTTCCTTGAAATTTTTATTACTTAATCGAAGCAATATAATTTATGATTACCTGTGTCAAAGGCAATATATTTTGCTTATATAATTTCTTCCAATTTTATAACACAGGATTTTATACTAAAAACCATAATTATTGAAAAATCTATAATAAGGAAAAAAAATTAAAAAATTTCAGTCTTTCATGAATTTAAACACATAATTGATAGCAACAGTTACGAGGGATTCCAAAAGTTAAAAAAAAATCGATCCAAGTTACAAGTGAATTGTTTGGTTTTCTGGTATAGAGGGTGTTCAAAAATACTTGTTCTCTTTCGTAACTTATTGTCTATTTCTCAAATCTCTGAAAGCTTCAAGCTTTGTTGCAAAGTATGAAATTGCATGAACTAAATACCTAAAATTTATGAAATAGTNTATATATACACTTTTTCTTTTTTCTTTTAATTCTAGATCTCTTTCTCATTGTCCTTTCTAAAAAGACAATATTTTTTACAAAGCATTCTTTAAAATTATGCACTTCTTTTCTTACTTACAACAAAATTAAAAATGAGGCAAAATCTATTATAGTTTCGAGATATTGATGTATGATTCTTAGAAACAAACTATTTAAATTGCTGTTTCTAAACTTTACTCATTTAAGTTCTAGCACATGTTACTGATTGCTCCTATATATCTGTGGGAACTTGAATGCATCCATTTTAGACTTAAAATGCATATGCGGGAGAAAGGTTGCATTATTTATCTTTTAGAATTTATCAGGCTCTAACATAAAAGGCACTTCATAAGTTCCAAAGATAACAACATATTTAAAGGACTTTCTCTTAAGCTTTCATATTGATTCCTATGTGTTTATGATAAAATATATTAAAGGGATCAAACTTTATTAAATAAGATGAGAAGTATATTACTAAAGATGTAAATTAGATTCGGCAAGCTGTGTTTAATTATTTTAGGAAAAATATGGTAAATAATTATTGGCAAATGTCTGAGGTTTCAGAATTTCTTTACTAATAAGAAATTTCAAAAATTAATTTTTTGTTATGCTAACATTTTTAAACAATACTTCGATCCCTTTAGAGTAATAAAATTCCCCATAGTCACGTAATTTTTATTCTTCGTGCTATAACTTTCAAAGACATATTTTAATTCGAAATATATCTCAAATTTAATTAATTTCACACTTTTAATTTCGGGTAACTGTAGTGTCCTTGGAAAATGAGCATAGCATATTTCTTGGCAGAGTAAAAGTGTGTTAAAATAATCCAATTTCAAGCAAACTAACTTAAATCATGTATCGGCTAATTGTTCGAAAACTCTTTTAAAAATTCTTGTTAAAATTAAATATTTTTTTTACAAATTAGAATAAAATTAAAACACTTCATGTATTGGGAAGAAATATTGTGGTGCCACCGTTAGGATTCAAACCTCTGTTCCACCGGTCATGAGATTGACCCTCTCAGCTACAGTATGATCGCAGTTTCTCGTAACAAAGTGGCTTCATAAGGCATAGGCATAAGGCTTCATAGTTTGCATGGATAGAATTCTGGTTGTTAATTTGTATTTAAAAACAATCAATAAGCCTTTTTTCTTCATCTTAACAGTTTGAATATCACCTTTTTTATGGTTATTTGAATGTTTTGTTTGAATATGGTAAAATAATAATTAAATAAATTGCTATTTTACCACTTTTTTACATGAAATGTCTAGCAGTGTATGAGACTTGATCATAATAAGGCAAATACTGTACAGTTGGTTATTTACAGACTGATTAGTTAGAAGTAACTTTTTGGTTACGCTATCAAAAATTCCGGTGTGAAGTACCATTACTTTTCCCACACTGTATGTAGATACTGCATCATCCGCAAAATCCCATTTTACCACGAAATATTATCCCGTAATTTAAATTTTACTTTAATATTTATTCAAGCAGAATAATTCAGTGGTTTTACGGAAATTATTATTACTGTGAAAATTACGAATCAACAAATTTGTTTTTGTTCTCAACATAATCCATTAAAATGAAAAAAAAAGGTTTTGTTAATGGAAAAATGGAAATAGTTCGTGGAATTCTGTTACTGGAAATGCTCCTTTAATTTAAAAGGCAAAATTCCGTCAGGAATGTTCCTCTTAGCTCTTGATGTTTTTCCATTGATGAACAAACATATTTTTTCATGGTAACCAACAAGTGGCCATCACCCCAATGTGCGAATTCCGACAAATTTAAGATGGTCCAACATAAGAATAACAACTTATTTATTCATGTTCAACCATTAAGAGTTTCCATCATAGCACCTTTGATATCAATTGTTAGAATTATCATGAATAGTCATGACTACAACGTTGGAATTCAGACTGATTTATGATGGACCAACGTAAAAAAAAGCAACTTGTTCTGATGGTTTGTTTCTGCATTACCAACTAGAAGTTCCATTATAGCATTTTGGAAGTTTATTATTAGTACCATCAAGCATTTCCCTCATACTTTCTTGGAAATCAATTGCTGATACCAACATGAACTACTATCACTTCAATGTATAAATTCGGACTTCTTTATGATGATTCATCATAAAGAAGAACAACTTGTTTATTCAGGTTCGACCATTAAGAGTTTCCATCATAGCACCTTTGATATCAAGTGTTAGAATTATCATGAATAACCATCACTACAATGTTGGAATTTGGACTGATTTATGATGGATCAACGTAGAAAAAGCAACTTGTTCTGATGGTTTGTCTCTGCATTAACAACAAGAAATTCCATTATAGCATTTTGGAAATTTATTGTTGGGACCATCAAGTAGTTAAAAAGGTACCGGCAATTAAAGTACCTCTTTTTTTACCACAATTTGAACAGTTACAGTGTATCTATAATTATTTAATACGTAATTGATTACATATTTAACAAGCAATTAAGAAGCAAAAAATATATTATTTTAACAATTTCGACTTGTTTAAAGACTTGATAACTTGATTAAACTTTTTATGTAAGTTAAACGAATTTGAATTGAATCGAAAAGTGTACAACATACATTATAATAAACAAACATCAAAAGAAATCTTAATTTTTTAAACGAAAACCTTGTCTCCGGCTCACTTTTATTGGTGGAATCTGTTTAATTCAGCCGGCCTTCTTATTCATTTCCATCAACAAATTTTTCAGTTTTTGGCTCGCCTTAATAAGGGTTGTCGTCCATGAGTAAAGAGAACATGACTCTAAGAAACACTATTAAAGGTTACAGTTGCGACCGAATATCACAATTATCTTTAATTCTTTAATTTTTCCTGCAACTTTCGACTACTCTCCATCAGCAAATTTTCTTGATTTTCTTCTAAGTGCTTTTTCTTATTAAACGTGTCGTAATCCGTCAGCTAAAAGAATATGACTTAAAAAATATACTTACACTGTAAACGAACTAGGGAGCACATTACGGTATAAGTACCGGCACTTTGGGTGCATCATTCATAAAATCCATTTTACCGTACCATTATAAAATATTTCAAAGATAACATTCTCACAAAGTTAATCAACTGTTTAATCATTGTGTTACAATGTTTAAGTAGTATACGAAAAATAGGAGAACGCATGCATATAGAAATCAAATTAACTGAAACGTTTATGATTTGAAATACTTCTGAAATGTACATTTTGATACTGAGCTTATGATTCTAATTGACAAACAGGAAACATAAGTAAGACCTACCTTGAGGAGGATCTTCGAACAGTTTTAGATCAGCTGGTTTTCGAACCAACCATAACGATCCATTGTTTAGACCGATTTCCACCAGTGGCTTCACCCGGACGTTTCGAAAATCAGTAGCATTTCCAACATGAGTTCGTATTTTTGAAATCGATAATTCTACTGAAGGACTTTCAGCAAGCTCCGTAATGTCCGGCACTACTAGAACTCTGTAGAAGGGCACGTGCAGAGGGAAATCGAGTGGTATAGATATTTTTGCTTGGCGCGTTGGAAAATCCCATCCGTAAACAAGACCTGAAATCGTGAAAAAAGCTAAATTAGTTCTGTGATACTTTATTGAATTACGATCTATCTATTAAATAAAGTGTGTATTTTGTTTTATTTCTTAAATAAAAAAACATACAGATCTGAAAATGAAAATACAGGCTTGTCATAAAAGGTCAAAAAGATAAGATATTTATTACCATCCATAATAGTTGAAAATTTTAAAAGAAACTTAAAATGCTTTATATGTTGCTGGATGTAAAATTTAACAGAATGAATCTGAATACTAGACAGTGCATTTCATAGCTAATGATTTAATTGATTACTTAGTTATCCATTTACTTGGTGATTCAATTAGTTGTTAATCTAAATAATAGTTTAAGCTAACTTACGCAAGTTAATTGCTTTGAGTAGTTACTTTGTATTTCCACCCTCTCTCGTTATCAACCTTTTAATTATCATACAGCTTTCATTATTTCTGTCGAAAAATCTACGAAACACTAATGGATCATTATAACTGAAACCATATTTGAATAAAAACATTCGACGGTTCTGGATTGAAATATTGGATGACTTTTTCAACTTGCTCCTCAAAACGCTCAGAAATAAGATCTGAGGAATAGGAATGTTGACATAACACAGTTACTTATCCCTTACGAAATCAACTTTATGGTAAGACACATCATCCTGTCTACCCGATAAAAAAAATACGCATCATTGGCATAAATCATTAGCGTTTCAGGATGTACTTGGTCAGCTTGCTTAGGTGTGATCTCTTTATTCAAACTATCATATATGAAAAAAAGGTTGTAAGGCTTGAAAGAACCATAAAACAATCAAGTGGCAACAATGTTACGCTATAGCTCATTTGCATAAAATGGTTAGTGATTTGAAATAAAGTAAGCACTCAGAGTAATTTGTTAATAAACGGATTAATCATTTATTGATTTAATTACTTAATTAACTAGTTTGAGTGCATATGTTTACTAATTAATGGACATTCCGAACTAACTACAGGTGGTAAGTAACAATTTAGACTACCGTGTTGCACTACTGTGTGAATTATAATTGTAGTATAAGCTTACACACACCTCGTTGATCGATTTAAAGGCAATAACTGATAATATATTTCTTCATTCAGTTAATTAAGAAAAATATCTAACCCTATTATTTACTTTAAAATTTAATTGTGATAAAACTCAGTCAATCTTCTTATTTATATAATTTAATCAGAATGTATTAATTAAAATTTTGATTAAATGTAATAAATTATTTGCGTTATTGAAATACTACCCAAGGTAATTAATTTCTTGATTAATGATAAGGTTATTTTTGTGGAATAAAACACTTCTAGGAGCCATTCCATAATATTTATTTTCATTTTAATAAATTAACTACACAGTTGGTGGCAGAGAAATTGAGTTGATTTAGGTTCTGATAAAATTTCTGTGACAAATATTTAATTAAAAACCATGTTCTTTTAAATTGGATTTTGTCTGTGACTTGCCATGAAGTAATTAATACAATATTTAATTAATAATCATGTTCTTTGAATTAATTTTCTACTGAGCCTTCAATTAAAGAAAGCCGCTAATTAAGAAGTTTAATTAATATTTTTTGAAAGATATTTGTATTCTATAAATACATACACTAGCTTGCAAAAGTATTAGGTCAAACTCAATATTATAGACTGTTGATTCAAAATGTAGTAAACTTGCTTAGTAATCTTAACAGCAAAAAAGTAAAATCAACGCTTTAAAGTCAATCACAATCAAATACAATTTTCATATCAGTCAGGTAATAAATTGTCATCCATGATGAGCGATTTTCGTACACTATGAAACATTTCTCAGTAAAGAATTGTTATAAAACTATTTATTTAATTGCTATTTTGAAATATTCAACCAGAAAAATCAAATATTTATAAGAAATGTGATATTAAAACTGTTTAGAGAGAAGCAATCGTTTATTGATTGTCTTTTTCTAATACGGTTAAACAACCAGAATTCTAGCAGCACTAACTAAGCCCATCTTATGAAGCCATTTAGTTCCGCCAAGCTGGGTACATACTGTAGCCGAGGGGTTAATGTGTCAATCTCATGACCGACTGAACAGCAATTCGAATCCCAGCGTTGGCACCGCAATATTTCTCTCATTCCTTCTATAGATGAATTTTTTCCTGTGCCCTGCACTCTTCAATTGGCGACATTAGACTATTAGAATACAAAACTAACATTCACGCAAAAATGACTCAGAATCACACAGCTCCAATGTCCTGTAAAATTTACTTTTTACGGTTTAGAAACCATTCTAGATGTAAATGGTTACAAAACCGTATATTTTAGTATTCACAGTTTTCTTACCGTACCAGTTGTAAACGGCTTCAAAACCGTAAAGGTAAATAAACTTTCTTAACTATTAGCTTTATAATATAAGCATGACATAAACTATATGCTTAATTGGATGGAAAGACTGCTGCCGCCTTAAATAAAAACTTTAACAGTGTACAGTGCAACGAAAAAATAAAAGACGGACTACACCCTGGATAGCTTTTGATCCTAATGATCAGATCTTCACTTTCCAGGACTCATTTTTATTGATTCGATTGGTTGATCTCAAATATGTTAATTAATTATTGCAGACGGTATTTTAAGTTAAGAAAGCAGACATTATATGAAGAAACATACCTTTTTTTGATCGGATTTCTGACTCCTAAAATATTAGGAGTAGCCTCAATCTAGGAAATACGGTCCATATAGTTTAGTCAAGAGGGCGATCCAAAGTTAGGACCCCTTAATGTTAATTTTACCTTTTTGCGTATTTCGCTATATCTCAAGAACATTTGAAGCGAATTAAACAATTTTTGCACACAATTATGACATTCGTTTATACAAAAAGTAATACAATGCAAAAAAAATTAATAAGCATTCATTATTTTTCATTATTTTATGAAATAATAGTCAAAAAATTTGTGAATTTACAGCATTTCTCAGCTTGCAACTAACCCCTACATTTTGGGATTCTGAAATTCAAATCCTTCGGTCGAAAGAAAGGTATGTTTATTCAGAGAAAATACGTTTTTGTGTCTACTTTCGTGACTTAAAATATTGTCTGCACTAATTAATTAACATATTTGAGGTCATGGCCTCGAATCATTAAGAATGACTCCTAGAGCATTAGTTCATTAAATCAATATTTATTCAAGGTGGTTATTTTATTTTTCATTTTTTTTGGCTCACTCTACATTAACATAAGTACTGGATTGGTAAGTATGGAGTATTTCTTTGCTCATAGTAATATTATTTAGCTATAATATAATTTTAACTAATCTGCATACTTTTGCATATTTATTTACTGGGTCTTAACCGTAATTTTATATGTATACTATTAGTTTAATATTGACATTGGTTTTTATAGAATTTGTTCTTAAATGACTTCAAATATTCACCTGAACTACATTTGCGATTAAAACCAAGAGCAAGAAGATTTAAAATCCCAAATCGAGTGTAACACATATATTGGTGCAATTAAGAACAACGGAAATAAATTATGCAAGAAAAAATGGACGCACAGGAAAATAAAATGCCTTTCAAAGATAGATGAAAAAAATTTCACGCTAATGAAATAAAATTTAAAAACTTTACTAACTGGAATAACATTTAGAAAAAGAAATTTTAGAAAAAAAAATTTAACAGTTAATAACGTTTTTTTATTAAGAAATTGAAGAAAATCTTAACAAATCCCCTTTATTAATTGTTTAAAAGATAATTTTTTTCTAATGAAACTGATTAAAGCATTTATTTTTATAAAACGATAAGACAAAATCAATTCATTTGTTTTTTTTTTTGTTTATTAATTAAATATATTTCTTTACTTTAAAAAAACTTAGCAGAGGAAATATTTTTTAATTTTCAAAATTTTAAAAAAGGATTTTAATTACTCTAATTAATTTAGGATTATCTTAAGAGGTTTTATTACTTTTTTTAAAATTAAAATGAATTGTTACTCTTAGTTTTGTTCTAATATATGTATGAAAAATTTTTTATTTCATGTCAAAACTCAATTTTTTGTTACTTAATTTTTTCGTGTAAATTAGTACTGGAAATGTCTTAAAAGTTTCTAAAAGGCTTCAAACTTTAAAATTTTTGGTTTTAAAACACTTTTATGAAACGTTAATTTTCTTCTTCTATTCCATAATGTATATTTTATTATTTAAAGTTTTTTATATCATAACAAAATTACAAACAATATATTCTACTTAGGGTTTGTGTGTTTGCGCAAAATTCGATCTGAAATGAAAAAATACATATGTAAATCTCCGTGAACTTGAAAACGTTGATCAATCATAAAGTTTACTTCTTGAAGTAAAAGTTTAACAAAAGGTTTTAAATTTTTAAATTCTATCAAAAATGAAAAAAGTATATGAATTGCTGAGAAATACTTGTTTGAGAATTGCTGAAACTTCACCAAATGAGCGATAAATAATACAGTTGTAAAAATCACGTTTAAGATAATAGTTGAAAAATAAAGAAATTGTTATTACAAACAGAATTCTATAGAAAAATTCTCATCTATAACTCAATACAACAATCTTTTGTTCCAATTTTATGATTTAATCTTTTAAATTTAGCTTTTCAAAGCGCAAATGATAAAGTTTCAGTTTAAGAAAAAAAATTTGAAATGAAGTAACCTTTTATTGACAACAAATGTTCTTCGACCGAATGCATCAAGCTTGGTGACACTTATTCAAGAAAAAATTTGCATTTCAGCATAGCTAATAACTTAAAATTTTTAACTTAAATTTAATAAATAGATTGATCAAATACAAGCGAAATTAAATGGAGATGAAATTGACAAAACAAACTTCAAATAATTTTATAACTTATCTTCGGGTTTCTGCTTTGTAAAGTGGAAACATATGCCTGATTTAATCACTGATCTATTTATTATATTTTTATACGAATGTTTATTCGTTTGGAGATTTCGAAGAGTTATTTTAAACAAAAATACAAATGAAATTAAGACGAGAG